GTGTTTTAATTCTCTCTCTAACTCGGCTGGTTCGCAGATTCTTCTGGCTCTTTCGGTGAGAGTTTTGATGACTCCTCTTTTCTGACTGGGATGATGATTTGAACCACTGTGCAGGTACCGGTCGGTATGTGTCGGTTTTTTGTACACTGTGTGGCCCAGCTTTCCGTTGGTTTTTCTGGTCACCAAGACATCCAAAAAAGGCAGTCGCCCATCCTTCTCCACTTCCATAGTGAATTGAATTTTAGGGTTTATTGAGTTGATGTGCCTCAGGAAGTCTTCCAGTTCAGTCAGACTATGGCCCCAAACAACAAAAGTGTCATCAACATAGCGAAACCAACACTTAGGTTTCCTCACGGCTGTGTCCAGAGCGTTCTTCTCAAATGTTTCCATAAAATAGTAGTCAACTTCTTGTACATTGCCGGGGTCAAAAGCTCTTTAATTTTGTCTTCGTAGTTGAATGAAGACATGACCACAGTTGCATTGCCCTTATCAGTCCTTATAGTCCGCAGCAATACTTACTAGTTGTGCTATACTTTTGTAAACCCAACAAAACCCTGTAAACATTTTTAGCTTCGGACGAAGGATGCATAAGTAACTGAAGAGCTCAGCTAATTTCAGACGCTTTTACGGACACACGTTAATGTACAACCGTTTGCCTACCACACATCGATAAATTCTGTAAGGCGGCTCGGTAGACGCAAGTCGTCCAGTCCATCTTTGGTTATAATTTATTCATCGTCTAATGTCAAATGTGAAGTGCATGACAGGTAATCGATCGTGCACAAGCTTGCCAGGTCTACCGTTTTCAGGGTGGGTGCTACCGCCCTACCGTTAAGCCTTAAGAATCTATCGTTACAAACCTTAGATTAAAGAAGTTTTATTTTTAAGGTTAAAACTAAAAAAGGAAAAGTTTCCCAAATTAATTTATTTAAAACGAAACAGAGATATTTGTTATCCACTAATAGTATTGTTGGTGTAATGCATTTGAAAGAATACATAAATAGGAGAGAGTACTTCAATTTAAAAATTGATTAAAAGCTCTTGCAATATCATAATAATAACATGTACAAAAGTCTGATAGCTTTTCTGACTCAGAAGAGTGTTTTGAATTAACTGAAAAATAAAACATGTTTTTTTTTTATAAAATGATATATTTTCTACAATCTTTTTGTCATCAATTATTTTTTAGGTGGCAAACCTTATGTACAACGGAATAATTATTTTTTATTTATTATTATAGCTTTTTCATTAGAACAAAAAAATAATCGAATTTTACTGCTTTGTAGAAACTTTTCAAAAATATTTTTCACCTGGCGCCCGTTTCGGTAGTCATGCTGCCATCTATTTTTTTGACAAGTTTCGACAACGTAATAAAATTAGGGTATTTTATTTTAATTTTATGTAAATTAAGTTATTTAAATCAAACATTTTGTTGAGAAGTACATTCGAAATCCACTTAAAAAAATTCGAAAAATAGAAATTTGGGGCATTAAATTATCTACCGTTTAATTTTTAATACCGTTCTTTTCTTATCCAATCCACCGCTTTCGATGTTCCTGGTCTGGCAACGCTGATCGCGCATGACGTATGATACGTACACGATACGAATGCCGAATACGAGCACGAAAAGCACATGCGAGAATAATTTGATAATCTGTGATTTGTTTCATGTTGAAACTGCAAATTCTGGTGTCCCAACAATGGTGCAATTAGAAGCAAAGTGTACAGCGATCGTCAAATACAGTCAAACACAGTACACGAGTAAGTAAACAGTCGTGAATGGCCGGATTTATTTCGAGCAATGAGAACGAATAAATCATCTGGCATCATTATCTTCGGTCATGGCGACGTTTATAACCGGCAAAATTCCATTTGTTTTGTTTTTGCAACTGTTTTTAACTTAAGTAGGTGTGATCATGTCGGCTGAGTCTCTCCGAATTTTTAGTTTTTTCTTCTTTCACCTTAAAGAACTCTCCAAATTAAGCACTTTTAGCGAAAAAAATCCATAAATTAAGCCAAAAAACACTCACAAAGTTTGAGAAACAGCACCATTTTCAGGCTATATTTGGAGTGTTTAAGTTTGAAATTTTGTAGTTTATGGTCGGTCCAAAACTTGCTCACTGATACTGGAGAGAGGTGTAGTACTAATATCACCAGAATAAACTAGACAAACATCAATAGTTTTCTATCAGTATGAAATTATTTCTGAAATTAGAATAATTTAATTTTTCAAAAAATGGTGCATGAAATAGCAAATAGAAGATTGATATCAGATAAAAATTTTATGTGGAACTTTTTCTGCTTCAGGATTGGCAGCGCTGCATTACTGGCAATTAGCCAGCTTATTAGAGGCGAGGTGGCTGTTTGGTATGCTACCATATCATCTCGCAACTTGGTTTGTTTAAGTGTGGTGGAGTAATACCTTCAAATCTAATCTAGCTATCAACAAGAAGCTTTTTTTTATCAAACCAGTAAGATTTTTTACCTCCATTCTCGACTGGTCGTTTTTCTTGCTGCCACCAAATGTTGGAATCGAGGAATTATTCAAAGTTAATTAAAATTTCATTCTTCTCTAAGTTTGTCTCGCTCAAAATTAATAATTTAGCAGTTCAATAAAGCATGCCCATAAATGAAAAGTCAACGTCTTAACTTTTTGCCAAATAATTAAGACCTACGTAAATTTATACGCTAATTGTTACTCTTGTAGGTACGTTGTAAGTTTTTATTAGTTAGCATGAATCTGGACCTACGTCTGTATGAATTGTCGCTAACGGTGGTCCATAATAGGAATAAATGGACAGATTTGATTTGATAAAAAAACACTATTGCTAGGATTAGTTCATGCATTTGTTTTGAAATGTTTTATTGTTTAGAATGGAATATTGAGAAATGTGTTCAATAATTTTTAAGTTGATCAAGATTTACCAAAAAGAAAAGTTTCATGTTATTAGTTATATTTTATATTTTATAATTGTCATTATTAATAACCAACTTCCAAATATTCTAAACCAAACAATTAAAAATTTGTACCACTAAGCAATTAAAATAATTTTTTTTATAATATGAAACCTGAAATGAACAATTTTAGGTATAGCCAAGTTAATGAATTAAGTTATTATTTGTTGGAACACCAGTTTTTGTGAAAAAAAAATGTCAGCTAACACAATTAACAACGAACAAACAGGCTTATAAAGCAAACTTATTAGTTGTCCATTTTCAATTTTTTCTTGGGTATTCAAGTTTCTGTTTTAGAAATTGACCCACTTTAGATGCTTAATAAATTAAGTAGTCAGTAACATTTAAATTTTTTCCGTTTTAAATAAAACTTGAAAACAAATTTGAGCATAGAGTAAGCAAGTAAATTTATGCAGTTTTTTTTGTGGGAAGTGAAGAGCTAATAAAATTATTTTAAACAATGGACCATTTGAACATAAATAGTGAATATCCATGTCAAAACTTTAAGTTTCAACTTCAAATAAATATTCTAATAATCTCAATTCTCCGCATTCACATATCTATTAGTGTCATATTCCCTGAAGCGTATCATCTTGTACAGGGTTATTGATTAAACTTTGGCCACCGCGTTTGTGCATCTTAGTTGAAATTTAAAGAAAAATGAAATAGAAACTTTGTAGATATTAAAGTCTAGATTATTTAAAGATAATTGATGCAGGGTGTCTCAAATTCGAGTGGCAGACCAAACTAACTTACCTTTTTAAGAAGGAATGCCTCACTTTTTATTGCATATTCGAACCATTCGCACAATTCTAGGCCTGTTCGATATAAATCTTCTATAATGATTTTTAACTGTTTTTGAGTTAATAACCAATATTGATTGCTTGCTAAATGCAAAACTTGTAGATACTAACGTCTAGTTTATTCTAAGATAAAACCAATTGATACAGAATGTCTCAAAGTGATAGACCCCATTTACCTTTTTTTAAATGGAATGGAGCACTTTTATTGCATATTCGAACTATTTGCACAATTCTAGGCCCACTCGATACAAATGCTTTATAATAATTTTTACCTGTTTTTGAGTTAATAACCAATATTGATTGAACTTAGGCCACCCCGTTTTTGCATCTAATTTGAGATTTAAAGAAAAATGTTAAATCTTCAGTCCCCAGCAAATAGTCTGCGCATTTACATTTTCATACATTAAGCGTTTCAGTTTGGTCCGGTAAAGATGTATTTCCGCTTTATGGCAAAAAAATTATTTGTAATTGCTCTTCTACTTGACCATGCGTAATGAAGAAACAAGCTATTCGGCAATAAAAAGACGATTTGCATTACATCCAATGCTGAAAGAAAGGAAAAGGAAAGGCGAATACTGGACTCAATACAAATAATTAATTGATGACGATGAAAACTATTATGAATATTTTAGAATGAATAGGATTAGCTTCGAGTGCAATTAATTTTTCTAAATCCATTTCAAATAGTACTAAATTAAGATAAAAAATAAGTTTGTCAAACGACGATTGGAAATCAACTAATCTGATTCTGAATCTGACTTTATTCATATTTTGTGGTTGATTAGTGACCGTGATGATAATCAGCAATTAATTTTTCAATAGTGGGATTTTCGGTCAACGGATGGTGGCAAGATAAAACACTACTTTTTCATGGGCCAACGTTTCGACTTTATTCAAGTCATCCTCAGGGCTCTAAAATGGAAAACAGGGGTTTTCATCCTAGAGCCTGGTGGAGTTTCAACACTTAGTGTGTGACATTGTTACACAATACCAATTAAAAAAAAAACTTAAAACTCAACTTCACAACAGATTAAAAATTAAATTACGACTATCCAGTTTAAATATTAAAAAATTACATTGGTTTAAATAAGTCAATAATGGTCAGTCCTGTCTCAAGAGAGTTTAAAATTACATAAAAAATAAAACGATCAGGCAGTCAAAACTATAAAACACACTCAAAACAATAATCTCATGTCAATAAGATTTGAATTAAAAAAGAATAAAAAGCAGTGAGCAAAGGACGAAACTAAGTTGGTAAAAAAGTTTCAAGTCAAAAAAGGGCGCAAAACAGCGATTGGTGATACAAAGACCAAATGTAGGTTTCGGAAGAGACGCAATCATGAAGATACGTTCATTATGTAATCACTGACCTATGAAGGCAGTGCCATATTTACTCAAGCGTAACATGCTTCTCAAGGGCAGGTGTATTACTAGACTGGCTGTTTTAGATTTTCTGGAAGGCTGCTAAGAATGTCTCGCTGACAAGAAAACGGAATACTCCACACACTCACAATTTCTTTTTCGTATTTGTAAAAACTTCATTTTTCAGCTATTAGTATATATAAAATTAATTTTAGTTGTTGATATTATCCTTTTGTATAAGGCTATTATAGGCTTCACTCAGATTCTCTGTGTGAATTTTAGAAGAGACACAGAGAATCTGTGAAATCAACCACGCTCAATACAACAACAAAGGTCAAGATACACTGGATATTGTCTCCAGGAAGATAGTGAACTAGTGAATAGATGTTCGGGTTCCAGACACAGAGGAGCAAGTACTGGATATAATCGAATCAGGGCCTTCCAGGGATACTCAGAGCACAATAACTGACACTTTCCCAAGCACCAAATAAATACCGAGGAAGGGCTGCAGTCCTACCACGTTTGTACGATACACATAGTAGAAGGACATATTAAGCTTACTGAACACCGATTCAAATGGAGCAGGAGTTAATTAACTGAATTCGAGAAGCTGCTTGATAAGAGTGGATAATAAGAAGATTACACAGGCAGGACCTTATTTGGAGTTAACACCAACACCAATTCGAGGTTATCTTCTTGAATTTACCGTTTATCCTTGTCTATTTAATTGTCACTTTCCTATAAAATTTCCTGGTTACCGGGGTTTTAATAATTACGAATCAACAGGTATTTGCGCAATGTTAATTAGGCAGATTTCCTTGAGAAACATGGCTGTCTTCTTTGTGATATAGTTTTTTGCACATATTTCAGTTTTTAATAACAATCTGTTTACTATTTTTTTTGTACTCCTAAAACAAAAAACAAAAAAAAAACTAAAAAAATTATTGATATTTGATCTTCAATTAATTATTGCAGTTGTTCAATTTTTCTTTATTTAGGACAATGTGGCTTCAATACACGTCTGCTAAGTACTACCTGACACTCATTACGTCAATACCTTAATGGGAAAGCGTCAAAATAGCAATTATTTGGTAATGCACTCGTTGAACTGATTTGATATATAATTTTTAATTTAATGTAACCGATTAGACAAATTAGAACGGTTGAGAGACTTATTTCTATACCAGCTATATTTTGCATCTTTTAAAAAACAAGTCAATTAGCGAAAAATCTTGGTGGATTTGGATGTTTGAGCCTTTGTCTCTTCGAAAGATTCGCTATCTTCAGAAAAGCATTCATCAGAATGCCTCGACTAATTTTTAAATATTATTCAAACACAAATCGAACATCTTAGTTAAGCCAGTTTGTTGCTAAATACATTTGTCTACGTAGTACAAATATCCGGTTTAAAGTTGTATGTGTAGTTAATGAATACACTTCTACCATCAGGTGATAATAAAATGTTCCCCGTTGGATCCATTCAAACGCCTAATTCTTTAAACTCGTGTTTGAAAACTTTCATATTTAGATATTACCGTATTAGTATTTTCCCCATAATTAAATACATTCTTTTAGGTTATATATACTGGGTTCTGTGGGTTTATTAAAATTCAGATAAAGATGCAGTCATATTAACTTATAGCCCAGTTGCAACCTGAAATGCAACCATCACACACAGAGGGTCCCGAAATTAGGTGGCCAAACTGAAACAGTAAAATCTGCTCTCAAAAATAATATTAATTTTTCAAATAAACATGTATCGAAAAATGATCTCTAACGGAATATTTTTAAAGTCATTTAGTTGGAAAATGGTGCGTCTGAGTGCATTAAGAGTACCTTTTCTTCGTAAAATACTTCAGGTTTCCACAATTTGTAGGAAAACGGTTGATTTATAGTGTCAGAAAAAAGTAAGAACTTTTTTGTACTTCTACCCCCCCAAATGATACGTCTATAATGAAATTCTGACAGTTTTAATTTCAGATTTAGATTCAGCATATCAAAATTACTAAAAGTTACGTTTTGAAGTTCAACCGTTTAGAAATAATTTGCAAAAAACCCTACTATCGAGCCCCACTTCAAGAAGGCGTAGCTCCGTTAGGGAGCATTTTTCGATACGTGTTTATTTGAAAAATTAATATCATTTTTGAGAGCAGATTTAACTGTTTCAGTTTGGCCACCTAATTTCGGAACCCCATATACAGGGTGTCCCGTAAGCTCATGATCAAAAGGGTACTGCGATATTCTTTGGACCAAAAGAAGACGATCTGACCTAACTTTTATTAACAAAAAATGTCTGGTTCCTCTGCTATTGATAGTAAAATTTCTTAAAAAAATTTAGCTTTTTCGAAATATCGGGAGAATGGTTCGATGTAATTTAGTGACACTCGCTGTGAATTTGTTCTTATGTAAGACTCATATTTTGATGAAACAATCGAGTTCAGCCGTTTTGGACAAGTGGTAAATTCTTGAGTGTTGTGGTACAATAACTACCAGAACTTTATTTGGTGGATGAAATCAACTCATTTTTTTAGGTTGATGCACTAATCATTTATTCACAATTTTGTGCTCTTTGTAAAGTCTTGTAGCATTCATAGTTTTTGCATAAAAAAATATGTCTATTCTCTAGTCACTTAGCAATGCTAGATATTTACTGCAAATTGTCTTCGCAAAACCCTAATACTTTGACCATGTCGGTCACTTCTTCATTAGAAAGTCAAAACGAATTTGTGAGATTGATTGACAATGATTTTATGCCTCGTATCACGATATTTGCAGTTAATGTCTAGTATTGTTAAGTGGCAAGGAAACAGAAATATTTTTTTTCACAAAAACTATGAATGCTATAAGATTTTGCAAAGAACACAAAATTATGAATAAATGATCAGTATATCAACCTAAAAAAAATGAGTTGATTTCATCCTCCAACGATAAAGTTCTGGTAGTTTTTGTACGACGACACTCAAGAATTCACCACTTGGCAAAAACGGCTGAAATCGATTGTTTCATCAAAATATGAGTCTTACTTAAGAACAAGTTCACAGCGAGTTTCACTAAAATACATTCTCCCGATATTTCAAAAAAGATAATTTTTTTGAAGAACTTTGACCATCAATAGCAGATTAGCCAGACATTTTTTGTTATTAAAAGCTAAGTCAGCTCGTCTTCTTTTGGTCCAAATAATATCGCAGTACCCTTTTGATCATGAGCTTACGGGATACCCTGTATATATTTTTTTTCATTCGTATTAGAAAATATAAATTTTGTTCAAAAATAAAGTACATTTATCTTTGACATTATCGATAATAGTCATTAAGAAGAGTTGATTGGAGATGAAAAGTACGTTCAGATATCTAATTGCATGTATCTCTGATGAACATGAAGTTTTGTTATTTTTAGCATTATTTTTGAGTTGCTTTCATATGGAAAACAATTTTATTATTAGTTTCACGAAAAAAAGTTACTCTTCGTAAATAGTTCTGGATGTTCTTCATTCGAGACTACAATCGTTAGATATAAAATTTTACAGTCGCATACGACGTTTCGCAGAAAATATGAATATTGCCCAACAATAAAGGACATTAATTTTTGAAAATATCGGAAACTTTAATTCTTTATTTGTTAATAGTTTGTTCGTTACCTTTTCTCTGTTGACCTCTATGTTGCATTGTTTTTGTGATGCATTAAAATAATATATACATAACAAAACAAAAGCTGATGTTTATTATAGATAGGTGCTATTAGACATCTGAACGTACTTTTCAGCTTTAATCAACTATTCTTAATACAAATTTTTGATATTGTCAAAAATAACGGAACTTTTTATATACCTCGGATACTACTGAATATACTACTATAATATGTGATAGTTACATTTTTGTTTAGAATTAATAAGTTTTCCATATGATGCCAACTTAAGGAGGCACACTACACTGTATCCTGTACTGACACCCGATAATAGTTTATGCTAAAATTATGTTTATGAGACCTCAACTTACAACTTGCATTAGTACATACAAGTTATATTGCTATTAGCAGTTTTATATTTTTTGGTGGGAGTTTCAACTTTTAGTTATAGTTATGGGTTAGTTGAAGAAGCTTCACATATTTTAAAGCTGAGGTACCAAACGTTGGATTATTGTTTGATGTAGTATGTCAGCTTTTGTAGTATTCTATCTCTATATCCATGAGAATAAAGTAATTTATTATTATGATTATTAATATTATTTCTGTTATTACGGCTATGTTTGTATTTTTGCATAGATTTTGTTAGCAAGTTCAGCTGTGTATGGGTATGCTATATGATTATTTTAAAGTCAGCCATAGACATGGCAGTTCCAAACCTCTGGGCGTACATTTTGAAATGGCTGTAATATGACTGACAGGTAAATCTATATGCTAACTAATTTAGCATTTAGCATTAATATGGGTTCTAGCTGAGATTGGCAATTAACACGGCGATCCGGGTTTTAGATGTCTCGACGACTATTAGAGATCTGGTGGTTTTCAAACCTTCACTTCGCCTCCTTTCTGAAATTACACGTTTTTAAATTTTTGTATTATTTATATACTTTTGAATGATTAGCAACAATTTTGGGCTAGGTAATGTTTATTGCGAGTCCTCAATGTTTGATACCTATTTGCACAGGACGTTGCCACTGTACGTTTTATTTTTCAAACGTATAAAATAAAAAAATTAAAATTGTATTTATTTTAATAAGGTAGCGGGTAGAAACTTCCATATCATCGCCAGGAACAGTTCTACTTCAGGGACGCGACCCTGCCTACGCAAGCCTTGCTGTCTCCTCGTACATTATTTGAGGAAAGCAAGTCCCAAACCATAGATCCCAACCAACACCCTCATTCCTAGCACATCGTTATCCCGTCATCAACCAACTAGTCAAGGTGGGGCCATCAGTTGAGACAGAAGCGAAATATTAATTCCATTTTGCCGTTAAATGTTGCTGTTGGTCACATAGCGATAAGGGTTTTATAGTATCCTGCTGGAGTTAAAAACGCTTGACAGGGTTGTAAAAAGAGCTTCCGAATTGTGGACATTGGTCAAGCTCGATCGAGAACCTTGTCCTTCGCTGTTCTTTCTCATTTTTTTCATTTGTGTTAATTAATTATTTAATTAAAATTAAATTTGGGGGTCACAGATCTTTTGTGAGTACCAGCTGTAGAGAGCGTCTTGATCGGGCCGTTTCATCCACATTCTCACGCATTGTTTGGATATGGACATCGTAAGTGTTTTAACGACAAGTGTGTTTAGCGTCTTCAACTGATTGAGAATCAGGATTTTTCAATGGTTTTTTTCCTGTTAACGAAGTTAAAACCCTGTTCTGACTATAATTTGTTTGATATTATGTGTGATTGGCTAACTTTCATTATATTATATTGTTCAAGAATGAAAACACGTATCTTGTTACTCTTTGTTGTTGCCAACTGTGACTACTTTCCCAGGGTTGGCAACAGATTATTGCACAAAAAGCGGCAATCTCAACCTGCGTCTGTTTAGGTTAGTTTATTGTACATTTTTTATTGATTATTAGGAGCAGACGCCAGTAGTAATAATATACTGAGCTGAGTTATTTCGTATCTGATTGCCTGCATCTTCAATTATTTTATCTAACAGTAAGCGGGTAGTAAATTCAACATGGTGGAAATGCTGCTTCATGTGTTGTCATAAATAGAAATCCAAAGGATTCATATCTGAAGAACACGGCGGTCAGGCAGTTGGATCTTGCTGACCTATCATTTCCTCTAGAAGTTATTTTTTAACCAATCCGTACTTGCCTGCCTCTGTATGATGGCGCATTTGTACGGAATGTACGGGCAGCAAATTATTCTTGAAAATACATCAGCGTTTACATTTTCGTTTGCTTGTAGACTCAATTAGTCCCACTAAGTGAATTCCCTTTTTTAAATGGAAAAACACTAATAAATTTACTGTTGTCATTTTTTTGCAAAACTTATAAGATATAATTTTCTATTCTATTTCATCCGAAAATAGTATATGTTTACTTTTTCTATTAATTGCACATCTTAGAGGAAGTTTGTTTTGACGATATAATGTATCTGCATTAAAACTGTCAAATAAATTGTTTAATTGTTTATATCTGACACAAATTCTGCGGTAAGCATGGTCTTACTTGTTAAAAAACTTGTGTCTGAGTAAAGAGATTCTGATGTCGAGGCAACTGTATGACTGCGGGTTTTTGCTGCAATTGAGATTTTCATTTTAGTAAATGGATTACTTTCCAAATCATTCAAATAATTACGGTTAATTTTTCTCATGGCTTGATATCGCCTTTTCTGGTATATTTCACTAGCTTCTTGAATATGTTTATATATATTCATATGAATATGGCAGATTTATTTTATGAATAGAAAATATCATACCTATACAAGGCATTTCGTGTTGAATTTAATAAATGTGGAGTATCATAAAATATCAACATTTTGTTTCCATTTTCGATAAAAAAAATGTTATTTTCAGTTTTAGCCGCAAAGCAGATCTATTGGTAGGTCCTTGGTTGCTCACTGTACGTTTGACATGAAGGCCTATGTTTGCTAGGTCTTGCATTATTTCACTTATTAGCGTTTGTAAATCTGCAGCACTTATGGTATTTTTTGTAAAGTAATACGAAATTGACGGTTTTCAATTTTGTCTTAAACCCTGAGCCATAGAAAGTAAATCGTGATGTGCTAATTCGTTTGTTCGACCCAATGATCCCTTATCAACGCGCCCCACAAATTTATTTGTTGACCTACCATACGCAAGACCTGAGCTGTAGCTCCTGATGTTTTGGCCGACTGATGGCTGTGGTGTGGCGAGAGCTGGGAATGCTCTGCGTGCTGGTGGTTTCTTTCTCGSCTGCTGCTTCTGTGTTGCTTTAGCAGGGCATCCGAAGAAGGAGGCTGGATGTGCGCCTCCGCAGTTTGCGCACCTCGCAGCCCTTTCCCTGGGAACTGGACATTCCCGGGATTCATGTGCGGCCGCACACTTGACGCATTTTGCGGCGGCTGTACATTTTGACTGGCCATGTCCATAGAGCTGACACCGGAAGCACTGTGGCAGCTGACTCTTGGCATGCTGAGATTCCACTCGGACTCTCAGGTTTCCCAGCGATCTTACGTCGAAAATGGCTTTTTCTGTTTTGGGCAGTAGCACCAGGACTACTGCTATCGGCTGGCCATTTTTCTTCCACCTCACAATCGGTGTTGGGTGGAATCCAAGTGCCGTTAGCTCTTCTCTGATTTTGGCGTCGATCCACGATTCAATTACGCCTCTGACCACCACTCTCAGCTGTTTCTCCTCCTCCAGCTGGTAGGTGTGGTACTGGTATTTGTAGGTATCCAGTACCCTAATCATCTGCCTGTAGTCTTCGGCAGTAGGAGGGTGAGTTCTAACTCCCTCCTTGGTGGTCACTCCACATCCATAATTTATTTTCTTCGCCATCAGTCGACCCGTGAATTCGTCGTATTTGTCCTTCTCGCGAAGGACAATTGGAGGCACCTTCCACCTCCGTTGACTTCTGGCTGGCTGGTCTTGGTCTGGGCTCCTCTGCGAGGGTCCCTTCTTTGTCCCGGATCTGTGGACAAGTCTTTCGCTTTAGAGGACACAGGCCTGGCTCGCTTCTCCCTTCGACGGCGATTTGAGCGTTGGTAGCCCTGCCGTCTGAAGAGTCCGTCACCGGGCCCCTGCCCTCCTTGGCGGCAATTGAGGGAGCTGCCGTCTCAGCGGGTCCCTCAACAGTTTTACTGTCGCTGCTGCTGGTGGAGGCTGCGCTCTGCTCCATTCTATCCTCCTCAGCCATCTCCTGCACTTTGGAGTTCTTGGCGGCTAACAGCGTTTCCGCCTTCACCGCCCGGTCCGTCCAAAATGCAACCTCCATCATAGTCGTCTCCAATTTGGCCTCGAGCGCCTCAAAGCGCCTCAGCACCTCCTCTGCGAGCACTGCTTTGAACTCCTCCATGTCCTGCAACACACAATTCAAACGAGAACCTCAAAGTTCAGCACCAGCTGAATAAACGTGCTGAAAAGCACACTAGTAGCAGCGTAATTCAAAACTTTAAGCAAGCCAAGAATGGTAAACTCTTGTAAAACAGTTTTCACTTTCATTTCCAACACTGTGATTCTGCAGAGCGCTATGCGTAGCACGATGTTTACTGGTCAAAGTATGAACTCTGTATCTGACCCACTCCGGTAGCCTTGCCGTATTTATATTAGCGCGCAAGGGCTCTTAACGATCTACGAAGATTCTCCATTTTTCGGGATTTCCATAGCCTAATCGACTGTTGCCGTTCGTTCTCGAAGCATCGAGCGTTGCCGCTGTGCGCTAAAAAATCAAGCCGCAACAGTACTTAGTGCATTTTAGAGTGATAATATTTTTTGCGAGAGATATTACACAATAATACGACAATATTATTATAGTACACTTTATTAA